ACCCCGCTTCATGTAGCAGCCCACTGCGGTCACCATCGCATGGCTAAAGTTTTACTGGACAAAGGGGCCAAAGCCAACGCTCGAGCTCTGGTGACAGCCTCTGGTTCCTGTTCATCAATAGAATTCATTGCAATGGACAGAGCATCTGAAAGCTTCAGAGCTAGTGATTAACTCTTTTCTGCTGTGCCACCAGAACGGCTTCACACCTCTTCATATTGCTTGTAAGAAGAACCATATGCGGTCTATGGACCTGCTGCTAAAGCATTCAGCATCCCTAGAAGCTGTCACGGAGGTAAGATGAAGAGACCATAGAGAAAAAAAGAATAATAAATAGAAATGCAGGTATCAGTACTGGCCGATATTAGCAATAAGGTTAAATATCGGATATCGGTCATTCCATCAAAATAACTCTGATATAAAAGGTGGTGTGTGTATATATATATATATATATATAAAGGTGCTGTTTTTGTTTGACAACCCAGTGACAAGGAGATTATAGTTGATTATTAAGATTGTATAACCACATATTGGGCTTCTGTTTTAAGCTATTTTTTAATTTAAGAAACTGTCAAGTAAATCTATTAATGCACTCCTACTTATGCGCTTTTCACTTGTCGCATGTGAACAGGCTGAGTTTAGATTTGTGAAAATTAACAAATTTGCACTGTTCGAGTGTTGTCATTGAGAGTAAATGTCATGAATAAATTTGACATTAAACAATCCAAGTCGAAGTGTTACATCACTTTCAGCCCCCTTTTTGGCATCTGCATTTGGTAGCAGGCCAAGCTGACAAAGACCATGCAGAATAGTATTTTAATTCCACAGCAGAGAAATGTATAGTCTCTATAAGTAGGTCTAGGAAAAAAATATCAGTATTGGTATTGGTTATCGGACAAATAAGTTTTAACATATTGGCACATCGGATATTGGCCAAAAATCTAATATCGTGAATCTCTAGTAATAGTAATCCATTTTTGGTGTTAACGTTTTAACCCTGAAAAAAGAAAGATCATTTGCTGTACAATGTGGCCTTAAAATAATACATCCTCTGTCATATGTCAGGATCTTCTTCCTTAACAGTTTACCACATAAAACACAACATCAGTAGTTTTGTTCTTTTCCTGTCTAACTTACTAATATTAATAATAAAACAGCTGCTTTCTTTGGATTTGTCTGAAATGACTTAATTTGTTCCTGATGCTCATTCTTGTGTGCAGTCTGGCCTCACTCCTCTTCATGTAGCAGCATTCATGGGCCATCTGAACATCGTGAAGAACCTTCTTCAAAGAGGGGCTTCACCTAATGCTTCCAATGTGGTGAGAACCGTTTTTCTATTGCACTACAAAATATAGTCACATCACAGGAAGTACCTAAACCCAGGCTGGCAGGAAGCAGGTCATGGATTTAAGTAAATGTTAACAACTTCAACTGAAATTTAAACAAATTGTAAAATACTAATACTAATAATAATAATAGACACAAACAAGACAAGGACTAACTGAATTGAGCATATGATCTGATAACTATGCTGGATAATTTAATTATCCTATAATCAGCTCATTAAATAAATAAGCCACACAGGAAAGGAGAAGATTTTTTGCCCAGGTTTAATTTTGCAAAATGGCACAGCCATTGAAAACTGGCATACAGAATGTTGCATCATGCCTGGATCACAAGTTCTCCTCACAGGCGGAATAAAGAAGTGTCTTTTTACAATGGCACAAAGATGAGGTCAAGACAACTCTGCTTTCCAGCTTAGGGCCTTGAGTTTATCAGGTGAATGGCTCCATGCTTCTGCAGGCTCCACTTTGCAAATACATAATAACTCTTAACACACCTACACATGATTCTATAACATTTGACATTAGTAAGTGAATAAACATCCATGACCTTTACATCCCCCATCGACTTGACAGTGAAGTCAAGACACAGATAGGTAATCCCAAAATTAATAACAGGTGTGCTAATATTCAAGACCCAGTGGCTAAGATATAAAATAATCTGATTCTACAAAATAAAACAGGAAGTAGAATGCAACTTTGGATCTCATAAACAAAACAAATCAATCCAAACAGAATTTATTTAACGTTTCTTAGGATTTGTTTCCCAGCACCAGACACTGACATATTTGTCCTCATTTTTACAAATCAATTTGAGCCTTTTACAGATTCTTCCTAAAACAGTTTGTGTCTGACTTAAACAAAAGAAAATTATTGAAGAATTAAATTACAAACTACAAAATTTTCCTGTAGCAGAGAAATCGTTTTATAAATCAACCTGACCGTGGATCAGAAGTACAGTGTAAAGGTATTGATTAATCTGTAAAAGCTCTCAGTCACATAGTTTGTTGTTCTTGTGAGCTTTAATTTGGTGTTTTTCTTTAACGTATTTGTGTTAGAAAGTGGAGACCCCCCTCCATATGGCCTCCAGAGCAGGACACTGTGAAGTCGCTCAGTTCCTGCTGCAAAATGCGGCACAAGTGGATGCAAAAGCGAAGGTGAGCTTTGATCACATCCACGCAAAGCAGCATTTGCTGTTTCCAGCATATTTAGTTTATTTTAAACACATAAGATGCAGCTTTATAAATGATTTGCTTGGTGATATCTCATGTCTTCTTTTAAGGCTTTATTTAACCACAGTTTTCTGACCCCCAGGATGATCAGACACCCCTGCACTGTGCGGCTCGAATGGGC